GTTTCCTGGCTTCTTCAAAGTAGTGGCCGCGGGTGAACCGGAGTGGGACATCACCTCATGATGTTGTACATATATTACCGTAACGTACGGGGCAATACACTATATACACCAGAACAAAGAGAGCTCAGTGCTTGCTGCCATATTGAAAAGCGCGTGGCGTCATCTGTTGCAAGCGTGGCAAAGCAACACCTTTAACTGCCATGCGAGCAGACGCTCTACAATTCAAACGCGAAACTTCACAACCCGAGTGCCGCTGTAAGCATCTTTCGCACTGTTCCTGTGCTGGAATTTTATGCTGATTTCGTGTAAAACGAAATCCGGACTGCACGTGCTGCAGTCCGGAATGTCTGCAGCACGTGCATTGCAGACTGCGGAAGCAACTTCATCAGGTACGTATTATCCGTCTGAAAGAAACGTGAACAGCGTTAACTGCAGCGTGCCTTGGCTGTGATAAGGCAGAATTTGTGCTGTAAGCCGGCGTCAACGTAGCGCGAGAATCTCACTTCAACTTACGCTCATGCACCACATGTGTTTATCAATTGTGCTGAGCACTCGGAACACACACGCGGTGCAAAAGTGCCAGCCAGAACAAGATTTAAAATGCTATGGTGATGCTGGCCGAAAGCACATGTAGATTCGCCTTGTGACAGTCAAGACATGTCACAATTAGACCGAGTTGAAAGCCGTGCTTTCGGCGCCATTGACATCTTTATTCATCAAGATAGTAGGCCGTCACAGTTATACTAAAAATGCGCGGCGCGTTCATTCACCCATGAGTCGTAATACGTATCTCCTATTATTGACTTGCGGCTTGCGAAAGAATACGGCAATCAGTTTGTGCTGCATACTATATGCATACTGCACGCAAATCGCTGCTGTAAGATGGACCAGCTAGAGTCTCGCTTAAATAATTGCAATAAGTATACTTACTCGTACATTTCACTGGGCTCGTAGTTTTTCCTGCTGATTGCCATTATATCCTATAGGGCAGCAGAGCTCAGCGCTTTTCGTTGTGGACGAAAATTTGTGCAATCGCAAAACACCGCACCGGCACGATTCCTGCAATGCGCTGTGAACTTCACAGGCAGTGCTCATCAATTCCGTCCTCTTGCACTGGTTGTTGTCGCATCAGATGACAGCGCAGTGGTACACAGATGACATTTTATAGGCGGGCGCAGCTTGAACAGGCGCTTTTTAGCATTTTAAACTCCCAGAGCCACTGCATGTCATGCTAGCGAGGCGTTCCTTGGCAGTTCCAAACCATTGGGAGCGAGAGTATACCGCCAAAAGGGCCTGGGTGCGAGATAGTCGTGCTCTCATCTATACTAGACCTACTGCGCTTGTCAATTCCCCACTTTTCTGACAAAAAAAGAATTACTGTAGACTGGTTGAGCTAGAACGAATGATATTGTTGTTCTATTATGACACCATCAGAAATGCCACATTGGGGAACCAGTAAAAATAAATTGCCGTTGGAAAGCTTTATTGTGCGGCCTCTGCCACGAGAGTCTCATCGACGTGAAAACATCATTCATGAATGTCTGGCCCTTCTCACTACAGAGCATTGCACGCATAAATAAAATGCTTATGCCAAATGCATTGCACGACTTCTCACCATCGACACTGGGCGAGTTCCATGCCATTGTCACTTTGCGACGACAGTTGCACTTCACTATCAGTTTCTTAGTGAGGCCGCAGTCATGGTCAACCATGACTAGTTTCGCACACCCGCCTCATACTTTGCACCACGCTTTGCATCGTTGGGAATCATTGAGAAGCCCATTCAGGACCTCCAAGTCAACCATCAAATATGAAGCTGCGGTGTCCGTGGCGGAGGCCGATGACCCGTCGCTTGCATCAGCGAATACCACAGTCTGTCGCACTGTCGATCGAAGAATGCCGTCGTTCTTGGGTGGATCGCTGTCAGTTGCATCGTCGCGGGTCGCTTGCTGATCGCTTGTAAAGCCAGACGACGGCATGCCCTTTTCTTGCGGACCGCTAGCACCTGTGCCAACGATGTTAGATGCCTCGGCACCGGGAGTCACTTGCACATCTATTGGAGAGCGGCGCGATATAGTGCCTTTGTGGAGCGGACCGCAATCACCTCTGTCCCCGTTATAGGGTGCTGAAGCAACGACTCATCCGTGCAGAAACCAGTGATGTCAGGCAGTTAGCACTTTTTTTTTCATTTTGGCTCGCCTTTGGTTGTTATGAAACACTGAGTGGAAATTTCTCCATCCTCCAGGCACGTTCGTTGTAGGATCGTAATCTAAGCCAACAAAATGACACCTCAACTAGCCAGGTTTTCAAATGCAGCGCCCTAAGCTAATCAGACTACGTCATTTTGGCCACATGATCAGAAGTGGCCAATAACAGCGTTTTACGTCTACTTTATTTTTTTTATTTGATAAAGTGGCAAGCTTATTGTTGTCCAATGAAGTGATAAAAAAAGGCAAATGCAAGAGCTTCTTAACGATACCAAAATTGCTGCATTGGAGTGGGCCATTAGTGAGCTACAGGCAGCTGAAATAAGCGCAATTTATTCAGAATTTAATGGGCTGGTGGCATGCGAATGCATCTTTTATTTACTGTTACGCTGCTAATGCGCGGAATTTCAAAACGAAAACTTGCACACAAGTGCACGATGGTGGAAAGAATGCGAAAATGGCACTTTTGAAAGTTCGATTTTTGGGCGAAGTTTCTGGTCCCAAGAGCCGTGCCTCCCCTTCAACCATAGTTCAACGAAAATTGTTGATCTCACTAAAACTCACTCGTAAGATATGTTTTGCACTTATGACTCACTTGTACTCAGACTTGCCCAAATTTTCCTGATGTGGACTCACTCGAACTCAGCCTCACTAAAGCATTGCTCACCCAGACTCACTCATACTCAATCTGAGTATGAGTACGTCGACTCATGAATCCATTAGTCTAGAATTAGCTTTTTCAACCATGATGGCAATGCGCTTTACCATTGATATCTCATGTAATCAGTGCTCTTCTTGGTGCTTTTTTGATATAGAGCCTTCGAATAGGTGTTATGAGTGATTGCTAATCAGTAAGGTCATATTTCTTGGAAGAGATGACAGCATAAGATAACTCTCAGTAAGCGGAAATCTCTTAAACAGAGCTACTGCTTAAACAGAACTATTGCCTCTGTAACGCTTGGTTTCGGGCTTGTATTCTGCACCCATGTTCACCTCTCAGTAAACGGAACTCCTGTTAAATTGAACATATTTTTTCGGTCCCTTCAAGATTCATTTATTGAGAGTCTACCGCATTTATAAAGAACTTCCCTCGAAGAGATGGTGGTGTGGTCAAGGCACCCCTTTACGTAATTCACACTTCTGATCAGTAAATATCGATGATACTGCTTCAAAACAAATGGGAGCAAATGTAAGTGTACACGTGAATCCTGGTGGGGCTCATAGTAATGCTGGAAATGAGTAAATAGGACCATTAGTCGGCAAACAAAACGGAAACTCGCTCAAAAAGTATATATGCGCTACTCGAATTCATATTCATCGAACATTTCCTCACCCAGACTTACTCCAACTTAAACTCACTAATTTTTTTTTTTTTTTTGAACCGAACTTATTGGGATTCAAACTCGCAAAAGTATTGCTCTCTCGGACTCGTTCCGAGTCTGCCCTAAACTCACAATCAAGTGCAGACGTCTATTACATTGAGTAGAGGTGCATGCTAGATTGCACTGATGAGCTGATCACAAGTAGCATTTGTCAATGCATTCTTGTGAGTCTGAACAAAGGTGGACTATAAGTGGTGCAATCCTGCTAGTACATATGGGATAGTTATTTGCACCATTGTAAAAACATATAGCCAACTCAAGCTTTTGTCATCCATAGAACAGACAATGTGCAGGGCAATGTTATCAACTTGGCCTTTACATAGAACATGATGGCGAGACAAAAAATGCACCTCAAGTGTCCATATGGTTGCTATCACAATGATAAGCAAAACAAGTTCAACTTTTTACACCTAACAAAAGCTGTGTCAAATATTGCAGTGATTGCCAAAAATGTTTGCCAATCATGTGTCATGGTTTTGCAAGTCGCAGGTGTGCCTAGGCTTAAAAAGATTATGTACTTACTATAAAGGGGGTTAAAAAATAGGCTTTTGATTGCAAAGGGACACTAAAGTCAAATAACAATATATGTCAGAGTGAAAGCTCAATCTATGACAACGTCCAAAACGACATTATTATCAATAGCAGTAGCGTATTTACCGAGAAATTGTGGTAAATGCATGAGAGTACATGAGCCACGGGTAGGACATTTGATAAATGATCTCGTTGATGTCAGAGTTACTGCTACAATTAATCACTAGTAATTGAGCTATCTGCCCTAAATAAGGAACCTTCCATGCATTAAGAGACGTTTCAGTTTGATTCATGGAAGAAAGAACCACCAGACATTACTATGAGGAATGGTGCGAGTGGTTCAAAAGTTCAATTTTCACCTGGTCAAACTGAACAGGTCATGCCCTCTAGCAGGGCCCAGTTGAACCAAGCACGCCTGCCATCTCAGAGGCCATTCCAAGAAATTGTTCAACCAGCGTTGTTGCTGCTGTGGCTGCTGTTACTTTCACTTTACTGTGACTATTGTCGGTGGCCATGCCGTAAAGCCAGGCAAAGTTGTGCAAGGCAACAGGGATGTGAAATTTTCCACTTTGAGGCGGGTATTTGAATTCGCTAACGCAATGCAGGCCAAAACAATGTGAGTTTATTTTAAAATGAGCACTTCCTTGGCAGAAAAGTATCACTACAAGGTTTCTGGACCGCTATTTTAGCAATCAACATCGACTTAATGACTTTAGTGTCCCTTTAAAGTAGTGTTCATTGAAGATACTCCTGGTCTGGAAACATGTAGAAATGCTCTTATAAATTTTATAATCCAAATTTTCCAGGAACCGGTTTTCACTGCATTGTTAATGCCTTCGAGTGAGGACGAGTAGCTCAGGTTCAGTCCTTCGTTGTGCAGGCCATCGAGATGATCAAGAAGGAGCAAATGGAAGCAGCACAGAATGTGTCATCACACGCGCTTCTCAAGAAGACTCACAAGGGCGAGGTGGAGATAGACGACGACAACCTCCGGCTGCTGGAGGTAAGTGGTTTTTGAATTGTTGGGGACAAATACAAATGCGCGAACCATCAGCACTACTCAACTGGCTGGTCTCAAATCTTCTGACCCTCCTCTCATCCCTTGCATTCTTACAGGCCTCTCATTGGCTCTTTGTGTGCTCGGGGCCACATGACTGTCGTCGGTAGATGGTGCTTGCCAGTAATACAAACTTGCTACATTAAGCTCACAAGTGGCCTGATACAGCTGGAGCATTGCTACCGCTGGCAACACAACTCAAGCGTTCAAACCTCCAGAGATTGAGGCACATTCAATCAATCAATCAATCAAAGAACTTTATTTTCACCAAAAAGAAAAACATTTGCGGTGAAAAAAAAAAGGTGGCCGGGAAAAAAAGCTGTCCAATGACAGCTTCGCAAAGCCCCAGCCACCCATCAGCGGCGAAACGACAGGGTGCAGCACCTGATAAAAGTGGGGGAAAAATGCATATAGTCGCTAAACAGTTACAAATTGATATGATAGTGCTTTCACTACGGGCGCAGGTGCACTACAAGGTCAAATGTACCTAATTATACACTTGCTAAATATAAATAACGAGGAAAAAAAGAAGAAAACAAAAAGAAAAACAGGGACAAAAAACAAAACAAAAAAGTAAAACAAAGCCAGAGAAGAATAAAAACAAAAAATGAAAAGAAATATATTAGACACTTCAAGTACATTAAAATGTACAATGCGCAGTTATGTACTTATATGCATGTGCATATGAATCATATATATATATATATATATATATATATAGTGGGAGTAATAATTCAATGGGCCAGTTAGTCTTCGTGAAAGTATGGGATATGGCACAACGGAGCGTTGTCAACAAGGATAAATATATTTATTTCCCAACAGTTTCGGGAGGGGACCTCCCTTCATCAGGGGATGAGTTATACTGACATGAGCTTCCAAACATCTTTCAAGGCGAGAGGGACGCGGCAGCAAGGATGTTTGGAAGCTCATGTCAGTATAACTCATCCCCTGATGAAGGGAGGTCCCCTCCCGAAACTGTTGGGAAATAAATATATTTATCCTTGTTGACAACGCTCCCGTTGTGCCATATCCCATATATATATATATATATATATATATATATATATATATATATATATATATATATATATGCATACATTATATGAATAATGAAGGAAAAAGGAAAACACAAATAACTTGCGAAACACGTGTATACTCCAATATTGGATAAGGCAAGTTTGTTATGTGAGCATACTTCTAATTTCTTTTTTGTGTGGAATAAAACATCTGTTCCTTGCGTTTCGAAATAGTTTAATGTTGTTGGGACGATATGTCAGGTGCGTTGTGTTTCATAGTGTGTGCGTGAGAATGGAACGTGCCAAGGCGGTTGATATCGGACATGATAAGAAATTGCGTTTTGTGTAAGGTTGGCAAGTTTAAGAAGTGTGTCCGATTTCCCGAGTGCTGCCTTTTTGTAGCAGCACAGCAATTTCTAAGTATATAGATCTGATATTTTCACAATTTGATACTGTTTGGAAAGAGGGGCGGTGTGTTCTAGAAAGGGAGCATTTGAAATAAGTCGAACCATTTTCTTTTGTAACACGCTCAGTTTCGACATATTAAGGGCTGTAGTTCCCATACCATACCAGGAAGACCCCATACCAGGAAGCAGTAACATAGGTGGGAATTAAAAAGCTCATCGTAAAGTAATCTCTTTATTTTAGCTGGTAGTATGTGTCGATGACGGCTAATTAGTCCTACAGACTTAGCCAATTTCAGCGTAACCGCATTTACCTGGTCATTCCATGACATGTGCTCGTTGAAGATGATGCCAAGTATTTTAACACAATTTTCAATGCGAACAGTGAACGGACCTAGGACAAACTCCTCAGGTACTACAGCTAGTGCGCCGCGAGTACGATATATAACACACTTAGTTTTGGCTTCATTCAACACAAGGCTGTTCGCCTTGCACCAGTCATTCAGCTTCGAACAAAACGTACTTGCTTCAGCTTGAATGCTACATAATTCCTGGCCTTTAAAAAAGACAGTGCAATCATCGGCATAAATGATGAACTGATAAGTGGTGTTTAATTGTATTACATCATTAATGTAAAACAGGAAAAGCATTGGCCCTAAAATACTGCCTTGTGGTACAAGAGATACGCCTGAGGCATCATCTGTGAGGGTCTATTTTGGTAAATTGAAGTCTTTTGTCTAGGTAGGAGCGAAGAAGTTGTGATGCCCCGAAATCCATAGCATTCCATTTTCTGTAAGAGAATATCATGATTGACACGATTGAAGGCTTTGCTAAAATCAAGGTATAGTCCTACTGTGAATGTTTTGTTTTCTGTTTTCTAATATGAGCTCTTTTTTAAGCAAGAGTGCATCCTCTGAGGAACGATTTTTTCTAAATCCGAATTGATAGGTAGTTAGGAGATTAAATCTTCTACTGAAGCTCTCGATGCGGGTATTAATAACTTTCTCAAGGCCTTTCGAAAAAACTGGCAATATCGAGACTGGACGGTAGTTGGAGAAGCTATTTTTGTCGCCTCCTTTATGAATTACTGTCACTCTAGCAACTCGCATGCTACTTGTAAAGACGCCACATGAGATAGCTTTGTTAACCTTTTACTTGCCAATGTTCCAAAATTGGAACATACGAAACCTAATTTTTTATTTCCTCTCCAATATATCGCATATTATTATTTTATGTTCACGCATACTCATTGATGCTTGTGAAAAACATAGCAGTTTTAATTTGCATTATGAACCTACGGAGAATCATTAGATAAATTTTTAAAAACAGGCATATTTTGCGCTCCTTGACCACCAGATATTTGTTGCATTATTCCGCTGGAAAAAGTAATGTTGCAGTGAGCAAAGCTGAACTAAAATATCGGCAAATAGTTCGGGATTACGTGGCAATACAATAAAAAAAATAACAAAGACAATTTAGTATTCAGCTTGGGAGTTTTGTGCGGATGTTCCTTTTTTGGAACATTGGCGTTTCACAGTGTCAAACGCAGCGTAGACGCGCGCGGGCATTTCGCCTCGTTCTTTTTCTTTTTCTGCCTTGTCGATGGCGCCCGCTGGGCGGCGCTTGGCAGAAACTTGAACATAAGCTTTCCTGGGCATCATTTTGAGTTTGCCAGACACGTGGAAAGAGCAGCATTGAACTACAGTGCCTAGCTACATCAATCCCTGTGAATGTAGGTAAAAAACTACCTTGCGGCTGGTTTTATTTTTGTAGTACTGTGCTTTACACTGCAATAACTTTCGTTGTAGGTCGTGGCACAACGCTTCCTCACTTTGGAAGCAGCAATTGACCTTTTGTTCAGCCTTCCCGATGACGAACGCGAAGGTGCGTCTGCATGCCAATTGCCGCCTGTTGAAGATGGCAATATTTCTGACGAGGAGCACGTGAACGAAAACGACTTTTCTGAAGTTGTTCCCGTTGATGTTTGCGGGCACGTTGAAGTTATGCAATGCAGCGATGAAGACGTTGATTCGTCTTCTGCATGTTCGAGTCCTGAGCTACGACGAAAGAAACCAGCGGGGCGGCAATTCACTGCTGGAAAAGGACACAAAGCTTCAATGAACGCTCGGAAAACAAATACTTCAAAGCGCTCCCATACACCAGTATGGGGTGAACATGCCACGTTTGGCAAAACACTTCCCAGCGAGAGTCCTCCGTTGTTGCTAGAGGCATTTCCTGATCTTGCAAACATGAGCCCATTTATGTTTTTCAGCAAATTTATTTTTCCGGAGTACCTTGGTTCACTGACTGAACTAACTGCAAGATACGCACTCCAAAAGGAGGAGGTGGTGGACGTCACAGGAGTGGACATAGGTCAGTTTTTCGGCCTCTTACTTTTCTGCGGGTACCACTTCGTTTCGTCCGAGGACTCGTATTGGAGCACTGCAGAAGATCTTTGTGTGCCTATAGTCGCGACAGTGATGGCCCGCAATAGGTTCCGGCAGCTAAAAAGGTTCTTTCATGTTGTTGACAACACTCAGTTGAAAGCAGGCGAAAAAATGGGCAAACTTCAGCTGTTTTACGACGAAATCTCCTAATGTTTCCGCCAGTTTCGAGTGTTCAATGAAAGCCTCAGCATCGACGAGTCAATGGTGCCCTATTATGGCCACCACTCGTGCAAAATGTTCATTCGCGGTAAACCAATTCGATTTGGGTACAAAATATGGATGATGTGCTCTTCGAATGGGTACCCCTATGTGATGTAAATATGTTGTGGGAGGAACGAGAAGGACGACAAGACACCTCTCGGGATCAGGGTTGTTAGCAATATGGTATCGGTCCTGGAAGCGCCTGAATATCGCGAAGTCTACTTTGACAACTTCTTCACTTCGCATGGCCTCTTGACGAAACTGGCTGACCAGGGGATTCGAGCTACAGGAACTGTGCGAGATACAAGAACCGGTGGTTGTCCACTGAAGAGCTTGAAAAACATCGAAAAGGAAGAAAGAGGATCTTTCCACTACAAGTGTGACGGGGCAGTCTGCGCATGCAGGTGGAATGACAATGCAGTCGTCACAGTCTCATCTAACCACCTCAGCCAAGAGCCTGTTGGAAGTGCGAAACGCTCCTCACGACGCTCAAACAAGAAGGTGGACAATCATAATTGATCAGAAAATACAATGAGGGCAGGGGTGGAGTAGATATAATGGACCGCCTCCTCGGAAGCTATCGACCGAGACTGAGGAGCAAGAAATAGTAGTGGAACCTTTCCAGCAATGGTTTGAACATAGCTGTCGTCGCAGGATGGCTCCTCCACTGCGAGATTCACAGGGGTAGTGATGCCGCCATGACGCACATCGCCTTTCGGCGGGACGTCTCCATGTCCTTGCTGCAGCTCAAGCAGAAACTCACTGTAAGACCTGGACCCTGGGTTCATCCGACATATGAGGACAGAAACACTGATGGCCACTACATCATCTCAACGACTCAGGGAAGGTGCGCGGAATGCAAGAAGAATGCAACGAAT